TTGTGTTTGTGGGTGTTGGGTATTTCTCACATTAGTTAATAATTATATTATTATTTTTGGATACTGAGTGGTGAATCTACTGATTTCCAGGGCTGAAAATGAAGATGAAGCTCTGTGTCAGTGGATAAGATGGTGGTTGCCAGAGATTTTATCAAACCTAATGGGAAGCTGTAGGTAAAGCAGATATCTTTGTGGGTCACCTGTGTAAGCATTAAGTTAATATATATATGTATGTCAAAAAAAATTTAGTAGATGTAAAATAGTAGTTATAGAAATAACTTCCTTTGCATTTATGTTTTATTTTGCTTCAATAGTTTTTATAGTGAGTTGAAAGAATTATAATTTTTTTTCATATGACTGTTAAAAAATACAGTCTAGCATCAGACTGGCTTAGAACTACATGTCAAACTTAGTGGAGTTTTGTCAAGCTCATCATGCCTTTATTGTCAGTTTTCACACTAATTAATGTAACTGATTCAAAAAAGTTTATGCATTTCACTGAAATACTAACTTATGAGACTTTTACAGTTTCTGTAGAAAACCTAAGAAGCAAATACAACTGATATTTTTTTAGGGTGAAGCAACAAGGTGTTGTTAATCATTTGTTGCCATGGACTCTGAAAGTTCTTCCTGCATCATACAGTTTGTTGAAGGAGAGAGTGAAAGACCAGAATGATTATGCTGAAGTTACACTTGCTCGAATAGCAAGGCAGAGTGGAGTTTGTTTGTTTAATGATATTGTAAGTTAGTTTTATAAAACATTGCTAGGAAACAAACATAAACATGTAATTTAAATTACTGATGTTCTTAAAGTATTTTACAATTAAATCTTTGGAGAGAAAGAGCAAATCACACAGTGACATTTTTCTCATTTGTTTACAAACTTTTGGCATGAGTTTTCCTTTACTCTTACAAAACGTTTATAATTAAATCTTAAGTTAACACTATTTTCTTCTAAATAATACCTAAGTTGCTTCATTGCATATTTTAAAGTTTGTTAATCTATTTTTATTCACATAGTTCAGTGGTTCTTTACTGTTTTAAACTTGGGTCACAGAACAGAGTTCATTACATAAAATATTACTGTAATAATTCCAGACAGAGTACACATGTTTAATGCAATTCTATACTCACACACATACATGCAAAGCATGAAAAGATTCTTGAGCCAATTACTCAGGTATACACACACACACACACACACACACACACACACACACACATAGAAAGTGTGTCTCTAAAATAATTAAAAGTTATAACGAC